CGCCGCCATGGTGGCGTCGAACAGCTCCTCCAGGGTGGGCTGGCCCGCTGCGGCAGGAGCACGCTGAGGGGCGGCTGGGGCCGCGGCGAGTGCAACATCGTCCGGGATGTCCAGGTTGAGCACGCGGGGGCGAGGGCGCAGGTCGCGGAGCTGCCTCTGGACGCGGTCCTGGACGGCCCGCTGCGGCGTCTGCAACTCCCGAACATCAGCCATGTGGGCGGCCTGGCGGGCGCGGCGCGCGTCCGCCTCCTCGGGAGTCTGCAACAAACGAGCATTAGCATGGCGTTCAGCGTCGGCGGCGCGCCTCTCGTCGGCGGCCTCTGGACCCTGCCGCTCGCGGACCCGGGCCTGCCGGTCGGCGTCATCGTCGCGGCGCGCGGCCACCTGCTCGGGGGTGGCCTCGAGGCGGGCGCGAGCACGGCGCTCGGCGTCCTCAACACGGCGGGCTTCAGCCTCCTCAGGGGTGGCATCGGCACGGGCGCGAGCACGGCGCTCGGCGTCCTCGACACGGCGACCCTCAGCCTCCTCAGGGGTGGCATCGGCACGAGCGAGAGCACGGCGCTCCGCGTCCTCGACACGGCGACCCTCAGCCTCCTCAGGGGTGGCATCGGCACGGGCGCGAGCACGGCGCTCGGCGTCCTCGACACGGCGACCCTCAGCCTCCTCAGGGGTGGCATCGGCACGAGCGAGAGCACGGCGCTCCGCGTCCTCGACACGGCGACCCTCAGCCTCTTCAGGGCTGGCATTGAGACGGGCGAGAGCACGGCGCTCCGTGTTCTCAACGCGACGGGCCTCAGCATCCTGGGGGGATTGCACCTGGCGCGCATGGCGCATTCGAAAGGCGTTCTCCTCTCGGCGCGCTGCAGCAGCCTCCTCCCCCTGCCTGGCGCGGTACTCATGGAGCCGCTGTGCTTCAGCAGCTCGCCTTGCTGCCGCCTCAGCCTCGGACTCCCTTGCTGCATTCTCCTGTCTCGCACGCTTGCTAGCTGCAGCTTTTTCAGCAGCCTTGGTGGCTGCGCTCTTCCTCTTGCCCATCTCTACCTGCAGAACAACAATGTTTGATTAGAAACTGGTAATAAAAAGTAAAAATCTTATTAATATCTAATTCAGTATCGGGAACAGTGCGTTGTGTGTCATTGAAGAACAATAACTTTGCCCTAAACTCTACTGTAAACTGTTTCTATTGCAAGCCGAAATATATATTGAATTTACATTAATAGATTGTCTTAACAAACAATAGCAAGAGACATGCAAATATCATATATATTCCATGTATTAGATGACATGAATGAATTTTATGATGTTCCACTCATAGCAAAAGTTGCAGACTCAAGTTGATAGCGTGTTATCGTGAATGCATTTCTTGATGTTCCGTTCATGGTAAAATTTGCAGAACAAAGTTCATTGCGTGCTATGCAAGTGAATATAAAATAAATCGATCTGAACAAAATCCCTCTCACACGTCAACCCAAAACAGAACAAACTAACAAAAGAAATAGTAATTTAACAGTAATACTATTGAGGTTCGAACAAAATATTAACAAAAATACCCTCCCTTTATGTAAGAGAGAGGACTATGTTGCAGTCATGGTAATATTTATATCAAATCTTAGAATGCCCTTGGACCGTTACAGATGAAAAAGTACACCAGCTGAGAGCTACCTAACCCTGATCTAGAACTACATGCACTGAACGCGTTCAACATTTAACTTAATCACTATGACAGCACAAAGATATATGAATGCGCTTTAAAGTCAGATATCAGTGACTTTATAACGGCAATGAGAGAAGAGATCTTTTTGTTTCAGTGAACCAAAGATAAACTTATAATTGTATGTTAATGTAGCTAATGTAAGGTTCATGTGATCCACTTTTAACATAACAATTATAGGTACACACAAGTATGAAACCACTCTCACACTCTCTTTAACCTAAAAAGGTGCAATGGGTATACTTTTACTCACCATATTCAATATTCAACAACATTTTCAACACACAAATAATCAACACAAATTAACACTGTTTATACATGGGACAGGCCGTGATACGAACACAACTTTTCGCGAGATGTTAATTCTTTCAAAATTCTTGTGGTATGAGAGCACAACAAGTTTGGAGTTTGGATTGTAAACAAACAGCCATATGATGTTGAGGAAGGTCAAGGTCGCGAGGGCGAGAAGGGAGCAGATGACAAACGAATAGATGTCGAACAGAAACTCGCACACGAAAGTTTGGACGGACTGCACACACACACACCCAAATTACAATCGCGCACATTTTACTGCCTGTCATCTTTAAAAAGAACTCAAAACATTCGAAAACCAAACACAAATACTACTACTACTCTCATTGAAAGGCTGGGGGGGGGGGGGGGGTGACAACACTTTATCAAGCAATACTCGGAAACGGTTTTAAAACAATATTTCGACACCTCTGAACTGTTTCAAAGTACTTACCAACACTCG